CATATTTGCTGAATAAAAGTTTTAATTTCTTACAAAGACAGAAAGAATAAAAATGTACTGACCCCAAACTTTTGAACGGTAGTGTATATTGTTAGAAAAGATTTCTATTTTAAATAAATGCTCTTCTTTTGAACTTTTTATTCATCAAAGAATCCTGAAAAAAAAGTATCGCAGTTTCCAAAAAAATATGAAGAAGCAAACAGTTTCAACACTGATAATAAATCAGCATATTAGAATGATTTCTAAAGATCATGTGACACTGAAGACTGGAGAAATGATGCTGAAAATACAGCTTTGATCACAGAAATAAATTAGATTTTAATGTATATTAAAATAAAAAAAACGTTATTTTACATCATAATAATATTTCACATTATTAAATTTTTTCCTGTATTTTTGATCAAATAAATGCAGCCTTGATGAGCAGAAGAAACTCTTGTAAAAAACATTAAAAATCGTTCTGATCCCAAACTTTTGACCGGTAGTGTATGTTAATTTAGATTTGTTCATAAAATAATATAAATGCATAATATAACACTAAAATGTAAATAACTATTTTTAAATACATTGAATTTTTGCAAAAAGTACGCATTTTTGAACGATTACAATTTAAGTATTTTTTATTAGCTAGTAAACAAGTAAAACAACACATTCTGAACAGTTGTAGTTTTAAGCAGAGTATTAGTAGTTAGTTAGTGTGCTACACTCTAAGAAAAGTGTGTAAAATAGGAGAAAATATACTGTTAATATGAAGGAATTTACTGTATTGACTTTTTTTTTTTGATTGAAGTTTTTTACCTGCATTTTTAATTATGCATTGTATTTTGTGTTTTCGGGTTACAACAGATAATGGATAACAGATAATGTCTTGGAAGATAATACCTTTTCAAAATATTTTTCTGACAGTGTACTAACTGATCAACAATCACAAGTACAAGCTACTAACAAAGTGTATCATATATGAACAATTATTAAATTACTAAATTATTTATTATTATTAAACAATTGTAAATAGCAACTAACTTAATTCACGTGATGTGTGTACTGCTAGGCATCTTTCCTCTTTTTGTATAATTTAAATGGTAAATGTGTGCCTTTTTATCATACGAGTCACTTATCAAAAGTTGCTAAAAGTTGAAAAAAACTAAAAATGAGTGAAAATTCACACACCGTTCCTCCTGTCGTTGAGCTCTGAATCTGCAGAGCACTCCCTGGTGGACATCTTTTTATCTCCATGTTTGCTCTTACTCCAGAACCGCATTTTGCCTCTGACCCTAAAAATGGAAAAAAAGATTATATGTGACACTGGACCGCAAAACCAGTCATAAGGGTACATTTTTTAAAATTAAGATTTATACATCATCTGAAAGCTGAATAAATAAGCTTTCCGTTGATGTATGGTTTGTTAGGATAGGAATAATTACCCGAGATACAACTATTTGAAAATCTGGAAACTGAGGGTGCAAAAAAATCAAAGTGTGTGTGTGTGTGTGTGTGTGTGTGTGAGTGTGTGAGCGTGTGTGAGTGTGTCAGTAAGCAGCGCATTAATATAGACCAGTAACTAAAGGCTCTAATGCACACCAGTATAGGTGTGTGTATTGTAAGAGCTAGACAATATATGATGATATGTAACGGTATAGTAGTGGTGTCCCATTTCTTAGGGGAATATTTTCACCCCACACACTCTGTTTCAAGGGGAAGGGGAAGGGGTAGGTGAAGAGGTATAAAATAGAATTGGGGTTGGGCCTTAGTCTTAGTAAACAAAGTTTTGGTTACACTTTTTTTAAGGTGTCCTTGTTACAGTGTAATTATACATTTAGATACTGAGTAATATTAATGAACTACATCTACTTACTATATGGTTAGGATTAGGGCTTGTCTTGGGGTGACTTGCATGTAATTATGCATAATTTATTGTTATTATAATAGTAAGTACATGTAACGTGTAACAAGGACACTTTAAAATAAAGTATTTATATTTTTATAAAGTATAAAAAAAATCTCTTTTCACTTGAGTTTTCACACACCACATTCACACTGCTTTTGACCAATTCTATATGACTATAAAATACTAACAATTATTATGATTTTATTGTAATTATCATTAAATATATTAAACTAACAAATAAATATATTGTAATAATAAAATTTGACTGTAAAAATTAAAAAAAATTTTTTTTTAAATTAAATTAAAAATTACTACATTTTCAAATTATTTATTTGAATTATAATTAAATAAACGTACTGTAAAATTACAATACTAATTCCTTTTTTAAACAAACATTTTTTAACGTCACAGCCTGACTGCGCGATATGACAATTGAACAATATCAGTTTTCTTTCTACATATTATGCAGCTCTAAAATAGTGAGTGTTGTGTTCATCAGCCAGAAGAAGGAAAGAATCCCATCTGACCTGCCGTCTGTTTGCGAGATCGACTTCCTGAGCAAATCCATTTTCCCAAGGTCCCCTGACGACATGGTCTTCTGGATCCTCTTCTGCTCTTTCTGAGAAACAAATCCAGAATCAGATGCTTCGTGAACATCAGACCAGACTAAACAGTATATTATCAGATCTGGTTCTGGCTGATGAGTGTCCCACGTAAAGCTCTTTGAAGAAAAAACAACCCATGACACCAAACCCCAGAGAACGAGGGACAGCACGAGAGAAAGAGAGAGTATTTAAGATCAGAGAATGAATCCGTGTTAATGGTAGTCGCATGCATCTTGACTCGCAAACTCCATATTCATCAACGGCTGCAGCTCAAGTAGAGATCAGACACCACAAACTCTTTCAGAGTCCCGGCAGCTTCATCCAGTCAGGGTTATTAGTCTTCTATTTGATTAGTCCGACAGAGAAAGTCCGACAGTGAGCTTTTGCACACTCACCAAACCTTAAACTACTGGCTCACACCAAATTCTGTCATCGTTTATCCCCCCTTAAGTCGTTTCAAATCCCTTTGACTTTTTTCTTCCATCAGAAACTATTATAGCTGATTTATTGATTTTTACTTTTTTTTTTATAATTTTGTCATGGTTTTTAATTTTTTAAAATATTTTATTTAGTTTAAGTTCATGTTTATTTAAAGTAACACTTTTTTTATTGTTATTTTAATTAGTAAAAAAAAAAGAAGTAATTTTCATTTTACTGATTTTACGTGAAATAAAATTTCAAGTTTTGTATATTTTATTTGATCTCAATTAATGTTTATTTTAAGAAACAATTTTTTATTGTTTTAATGAACTATAATAACCAGAGTCATCACAGGTCCTTTATTACTTTTTTTAATTCATCTTTATTTTTATAATTTTTCATTTTCATTTTCATTTTAGTGATTTTGTTTAGTAAAATAATTGTTTTTCTCCCACGGGTCTTTTTTCATTTTATTTATTTTTACAATTTTACTAATTTTAGTGAAATATTTTTTAATTTTTTTTTATCTCAATTAAAATTTATTTAAAGTAATTTTTTTCTTGTTTTATTTCGAATTAACTAAAAATACCGAAGGGTCCTTAAAAGTATCTATATTTTATTTATTTATTTTTTAATATATACATATTTTAAATTAAAAAGTGGTTTAAAAGGCTGAAAAGTGAAGTTTAGCATTTTATAAAACTTTGTTTTTGTCAAAACCTGTTATTAGAACTGTAAAGAACTGTATTTAAATAAATAAATATTTTATTTAATTTCAGTTAATGTTTATTTAAAGTAACACTTTTTTATTGTTATTTTAATTCGTTTTTTTTAATAATTTTTCATTTTACTGACTTTACATTAAATAAAATTTCAAGTTTTGTATATTTTATTTGATCTCAATTCATGTTTATTTTAAGAAACAATTTTTTTTATTGTTTTAGTTAACTATAATAACCAGAGTCCCCACAGGTCCTTTATTACTTTTTTAAATTCATCTTTATTTTTATAATTTTTCGTTTTCATTTTGATTTTAGTGATTTTGTTTAGTAAAATTTATTTTTTTCTTCCACGGGTCTTTTTTCATTTTATTTATTGATTTTTTATTTTATTTTACTAATTTTAGTGAAACATATATATATATTTTTTATCTCAATTCAAATTAATTTGAAGTAATTTTTTTCTTGTTTTATTTCTAATTAACTAAAAATACAGATGGGTCCTTAAAAGTATCTATATTTTATTTATTTATTTTTTAATATATATATATTTTTTAATTAAAAAGTGGTTTAAAAGGCTGAAAAGTGAAGTTTAGCATTTTATAAAACTTTGTTTTTGTCTGTTTTGAACTGTATTTAAATAAATAAATATTTTATTTAATTTCAGTTCATGTTTATTTAAAGTAACACTTTTTTATTGTTATTTTAATTAGTTTTAAAAAATTCATTTTCATTTTACTGATTTTACATGAAATAAAATGTCAAGTTTTGTATATTTTATTTGATCTCAATTAATGTTTATTTTAAGAATATTTTTTATTGTTTTAGTTTTAGTTAACTATAATAACCAGAGTCCCCACAGCTCCTTTATTACTTTTTTAAATTCATCTTTATTTTTATACGTTTTCGTTTTCATTTTGATTTGAGTGATTTTGTTTAGTAAACATTTTTTTTTTCTCCCATGGGTCTTTTTTCATTTTATTTATTTTTTTCAATTTTACAAATTTTAGTGAAATTTTTTTAGATTTTTATTTTTGTATTTTATTTTATCTCAATTAAAATGTATTTTAAGTAGTTTTTTTATTGTTTTATTTTTTATTAACTAAAACTACCGACGGGTCCTAAAAAGTATCTATATTTTATTTATTTATTTTTTAAAAAGCTTTAAAGGTTTAAAAGGCTGAAAAGTGAAGTTTAGCATTTTAGAAAACTTTGTTTTTGTCAAAACCTGTGTTTTTAGAACAGTATCATTTTTACAGTTGTTTTTACAGTTGTTTTTTAATGGTTTGGGTGTTACCATAGACTTAAAAAGGTCTTAAACTTGATTTTAGATACCCTGAATAACCCACTGAACAAAAAATTAGATGGTGTTTGGCTACGGTGCAGTTAACAGTCTTCAAAATGAACGTCAAACGGGTTTGGAACGACACGAGGGCGATTTAGTGACAGAATTCTACATTTTGGTTAAACTATTCTTTAAAAATGAGTGTGGATCCTGTGATGGATCAGAATGGATGAGTGTGCAGAGCTGCGCTAGGGACGGCTCTGGCCTCGTCTTCGTCAGAGTGGAGCTGCGGAGCACGGCTCAGGAAATCAGAGCGAGTCCCGGCCATGCGCGCTTTCTTTACACGAGCTGCTCTGATCACCTGATCGATCACACTGACGTCAAAACTACTGACAGACACTCAGCACCCAAACTCATCTCACAGCTATACATGCAGCTTGATTTTACTCCGCTGAGCTGAAAAAACCTTTCATGCCTAAAACATGTATCATAGTCACTCTCAAATCTCTCAGGAAGACATATAATATGCATATTTATAATATAATATTTTATACTAAAAATATAATTAAAATATTTAATATAGATATAACATTACAGAAATAATGTATAGTAATATACAGTAATATAGATATTAAAAAATGCATAAAAAATATTTAAAAATTAATATAAATAAAAATACAATTATAATATAGTAAAGTAGTATAGTTTTTAAAGTACAACTATAATAACTACTGTATATAACTATAAAAATCATAGTAATTAAAGTATTAAAAATACTGGATTTATACTAAAACATTTATATAAATAAAGGTGACTTGACTTGACTTAACTATGCTAATTATAGCAATTAAAGTATTATAAAATGCTGTTTTATACTAAAAACTATTTTGAAATAATATATATAACAGACGTACAGTAATATACATAAGATTTGTTACAAATAAAAATGTAACAAATAAAACATTATAGTACAGTAATTAAGTATAACACTTACAACTATATTAATTATAGTAATTAAAGTATTAGAAAACTAAAAACTATTTTTAAATAATATATAATATTTAGATATACAGTAATATAGATGACATTTGTTATAAATAAAAATATAAATAAATTAAAACGTTAAAAAATTATAGTATAGTAATTAAAGTAGTATAGTTATTAATGAATAACTATAATAACAATATTAATTATAGTAATAGAGTATTAAAAATACTGTTTTTATATTAAAAACTTTTTTTTTTAAATAATACAAAAACTAAATTATTCAAAATTTTGTATTTCAAAATTGAAAAAAAAAGAAATGCTTCTGCAATAAAAAAGTCTGAACAAATAAAGTTCCTCACCTCTCTGTTTTTTAACGATCTGAATCCTGCCTCTCTTTGGATCGCCTGTGATCGTTCCTGATTCACCAGGTCTTTATCCGACCTAAAACACACAGCAGAGCGGATCGACCCACATGACCACAACCAAAAACACCTGAACATGTCTGAATGTCACTGCATCAGACGCTAAAGATCAAAACAAGGGCACACAAAAGTGACCCGTGCTGCGTCGCAATGAGCAAAATCACCAAGCAACGTTGACGGGTCAAAGACGAAAAAGGGTTTACGCATAAAAACAATAAGTGTAATACTGCTTTAAATTGTTGTTGTTTTTCCTAAAAAATATTTAAAAGTTTTCTGTTTAATTTAATTGCACTTTTGCTTTTGTTTTTCTGAGCAAAAAATAAATATCATACATTTTTCCCCTGATTTACAGAAGAGACCCACTAAAATGTAATTCAGTGTAACAATCTTCTCAGGCATATTTACAGCAAAAATCAAGACGAATTACTTTCACCCCATATACTAATTAGTTGTAATTTTACATTTTTAAAGCATCTGCCACTATCCTAGGTTTTGCCCATTTGTCAGTAAGAACTTTTTACTCATTTAAAACACAATCAAATTTAATATGCTCACTTATTCTTTTAGATATTTTAATATGCACACGTCAGAATAAGCATGTTTTTTTTGAATTTTTTACATAAATATTGTGTTACACTGAATGACAATGTAACTTTGTTACATTTTGTTATTTTACAAAGCCCCGTGAAGCCGTGGTTTACAGTGAATTTATAACATCTAAGGGGGTTTTAGGCACTCCGCTTCGCGTCTAACAACGCCCCTTAGCTGTTATAAATTCACTGTAAACCACAGCTTCACGGGGCTTATTGCTTTAATCGAATCGTGAGTCGAGTGAATCGTTACATCCCTAATCTTGACGTGAACTCACTTGGAGAAGGTCAGTCGGCTGCGTTTGGGAGAGAAGGCTTTCTCCTTCATACTGATGCTGATGCTCTGAGCTACAAACTTCTTCTGAACCTCCTTCTTGGGCTCTGAAGCCACTTCTCGAACCGAGTCCCTCGAGTCCAGCTGGAGGGGTTTGGAAGAACAAGGTGCGATGGTTTGAGGCTCAGGAGGATCTGGAGAAGACGATCCATTCGATCTGTCGTCGGTTTCTCTGTGAATCTCCTCAGCGTCCATCGTCTCGTGTTTCTGCAGAGCTTCCAGGCTGCTTTGGTCCACAGGCATCTCCTTCTGCATGCGGATTATGACCACAACGGACTCCTTTTTCTCCCGAGCTTGTTTGAGCGGGCTGCTGTCCTCATCTGCGATGTAGAAGTGAGGTTTGAAGGAGGCCAGACTGCTCTGGTTCTCCTCCATCGGCTTGGGTTCGGGCGCCGTCGGTTCCTCGTCGGGACAGCCGAGGAGCTCGAAGCTTCCCTGGCTCTCCGAGGGAAGATGTCTGGAGAGAGGGCTCTGAGCGGGAAGTGCGTCGTCCACTGAAGCGGAGCGCACTTTGAGCAGCTCTAAACTGAAGGTGGCTTGCTGGAGCTCCCGCTGCCTCCTGCTTTGGCGTTTGGAGCGGCTCTTCAGCGTACTGTCGTCTACGCTTCTGAGAGGTTCGGCGGACTGGGTTTCTCCCTTCTCCTCTTGGACTTCGGGTGGGTTTTGTTGGGCGTGTAAACTTTTGCTCACAGTGTTTTCACAGAGGCTTTTCTCTCCACGTCGCTGCTCTCGAAGAATGCGGCACCTTGGGAAAAAACAACATACATTTATGACACTTTCATCCAATAAGGACATAAACTAGATGTTTGATAAATCAAGAAAATATTTATTTATTTATTATTTTATTTTTCTCCTTTTTCTTCTTGCCTATTTAGATGTTTATTTGTATGCTTATTAGTGCTGTCAAACGATTAATCGCAAATAATCGCATCCAACATAAAAGTTTTTGTTTGCACAATATATGCGTGTATATTTATTATACATACACTGAACAAAATTAAAAACGCAACACTTTTGTTTTTGCCCCCATTTTTCATGAGCTGAACTCAAAGATCTAAGACTTTCTATGTACACAAAATGCCTATTTCTCTCAAATATTGTTCACAAATCTGTCTAAATCTGTGTTAGTGAGCACTTCTCCTTTGCCGAGACAAACCATCCACCTCACAGGTGTGGCATATCAAGATGCTGATTAGACAGCATTATTATTGCACAGGTGTGTCTTGGGGGCCAACACTTTTTCACACCACTGTACATGCATGTGTGTGTATTTGTATATGCATAATTAATATACACAGTACACATACATATATTATGCAAACAAAAACTTTTATTTTGGATGCGATTAATCGTTTGACAGCACTAATGCTTATATTATTGTGACTATATGTTCATCGTTATGTGGGCATTTATCATGCTTGCTTGATACTTTCTTAATTCTATAACAGTTTGATACTTGTATTGTGCCTTGAGATGCTTATGTGCTTTTCTTTAATAAAAAAAACATCAAGTAAATATTAAGACGCTTTATGGACACCTCTTATGTTTATTTTTGCTTTAGCAACCAAAATAGTTCCAATAGGAAATCGCAAAAGTGGAACAAACAGACGAAACATCAACACTCTCCAAACGTCGACTGTCCAATCAGATTAGTCAACGCAAAACCACTAGCCAATCAGAACATAGCTGGTTTCTAAAAGATGTGGAGAGAGATTTTGGACCAATGAGATTCATTTTCATCGTTTTAATTTAAATTTTTGTATTTTATTTATTATATTTTTAATACTAAAATATAAAATGCTATTAAAAACAATAAAAACAAAGACTCTTCATCTCATCCTAGACCTATGAGTGACATCTACATATATGCATTACTTTTTTAATATAACATTGACTAATAGCTCATTAATCAAGTGAGGAAAAAATAGATCAATAAAACTAAAATAAAGTATAACAATTAGATTATTTTGATGCTAAAACTTTAAAATAAAAATACTAAAATACCATTTTGTTTTTAAAAGGAAATTAAATAAAATATTTTAATAAATAAAGTATAACATTATTTTTATGCTAAAAATCTCTATTTTTAAAAAAAGAAATTGAATAAAATATTGAAAAAAATACATCTACATATATAATCTACATATTTATTAAGAAATGACTAATAGCTCATAAATATGTTTAATTTGTCCATTTATCATAATTGATTCATTAACATCCTTTATTATAAATCATTACAATAATAGATAAACAATCAAAAAATTTAAATATAGTATAACAATTATAATATTTTTATGCTAAAAATCTAAAAGAAAAAAAAAACAAAAAAAGAAAAATAAAATACAATTTTTATAAAGGAAATATTTTTCAAATCTGAAAATAATTACTTTATCCTACACCTATGAGAAACATCTACATATATAATTTACATTTTTAATATAATAACTAATAAAGTGGGGAAAAAATAGATAAATATAAATAACACTAAAATTACAATTAGATTATTTTTATGCTAAAAATATAAAATAAAAATTCTAAAATACTATGTTTTAAAAGGAAATTAAATTAAATATTGACAAAATACAACATTATTTTTATGCTAATATATATATATATTACTGTTTTTTTAAAAAGAAATTAAATAAAATATTTAAAAATACATTACGTATATAATCTACATTTTTATAAAAACAAATGACTAATAGCTCATAAATATGTTTAATTTGTCCATTTACCATAATGTATTCATTAACGTCCCTTATTATAAATCATTACAATAACATGCAATTTAATTTAAAAAAAAAAACAGTATAACAATTATAATATTTTTACGCTAAAAATCTAAAAGGAAAAAAAAACATTTCAAAAATATATATTTTTTTAAAGGAAATAAATATATTTCAAATCTGAAAAATGACTCCACCTCATCTTACACCTATGAGAGACATCTCTCTCATAAATAAGCTTAATTAGTCCATTTATCATAGATTACTCTGTTTCATAATCACAAGCAGACATTTATTCAAGGTTAGGTTCAAGTACACAGGTTCGATTCCCAGGGAAAGCATGAACTGACCCAAATTTGTCCCTTTAACGCAATGCAGTCTCTTTGATTAAACACATCTGGCAAAGGCATTGGTGTAGGTGTTGACTAACCTGTGGCGCTCACGCTGCCCCCTGCAGGCGGCCTGTAGCGTGACGGCGGCACGGCGCTGCTGCAGGAAGCTGTGTCTCTGTCTGAGGCTCCTCCAGACAGACTGTATAAGGCGCGCGGCCGAGTGTCGCGTCTGCAGGACTCTCCTCCAGCGCGTCTGGATGATCAGCGCCGCTCTCCTCCGCCGCAGGAACAGCCGGCGCTCTCTAAAGCCTCTCCAGGCCGCCTGCAGACGCAGCGCCGCCCCCTGCTGGAGATCCGCGTCAGCGCGAGTCAGACAGGCCCCCCACCAGCGCTGAGCGCAGAAACACACACAACACTGATTACTGTGCTGTACACACTGCATACTAGTTACTAACATAGCATGTGATTGATAAGTTATGACGTCTGTGTTTGGAAACATACTGGCTAACCTCCCCTTTACTATTCATTTTATTAGATTTTTTTATTTGCATTTGTGTTATAATTTATTACTGAGTTACTGCTTTATCGTACATTTGTATTTATTTTGTTCTGATTTTATTGTATTACCCTGTATTTTATTTTATGCTGTGGTTCACCCTCTGCTTAAGAAACCTCATCTTGATCCATCCATCCTCAGTAATTTCAGACCTATTTCTAAGTTGCCTTTTATCTCAAAGCTATTAGAGAGAGTTGCTTATCATCAGTTGAACTCCTATATCAGTATGTCCAATGTTTTAGATACTTTTCAGTCGGGTTTTAGATCACTGCACAGCACAGAAACTGCACTGTTGAACGTTAGCAATGACTTTTTGCAAGTTCTCGAAACTGGTTCATATGCGGTGCTTGTTTTGTTGGATTTAAGTGTGGCATTCAATACAATTGATCATAGTATTCTGTTACATCGGTTGGAAAAGTTGGTGGGTATTCAGTGTGTCGCTCTGCAGTGGTTGGCCTCTTATCTCAAAGACAGAACCTTCTCAGTGAGCATTGGGAAGTTTTCTTTGTCGGCTCCTTTGTCATGCGGTGTGCCCCAAGGGTCTATTTTAGGCCCTCTTCTTTTTTCACTTTACATGCTTCCCTTGGGTGCCATTTTTAAGAAATATAAGATTTCATACCACTGCTATGCTGACGATACACAGTTCTATCTTCCAGCAAAAACTGACAGCAGTGATTCTTTGGATGTGCTCTATGACTGTTTTGAGGAGATAAAATGTTGGATGGCTAATCATTTTTTGCAATTAAACGAAAGCAAAAGCGAAATTCTGATTTTAGGTCACTCTAGGACTTCATCTGTTTTTAAGTTAGGGTCTCTCTCTGCCAGTGTTCAACCCTATGTAAGAAATCTTGGGGTTATATTTGATTCGTTACTCAACTTTGAGAAACAAATTAGCACAGTGGTAAAGGGCAGCTTCTTCCATCTGAGATCAATTGCTAAACTGAAACAGTTTTTGCCCCACAAAGATCTGGAGACTGTAATCCATGCTTTCATAACATCACGCCTGGATTACTGTAATTCTCTTTACTGTAAATTTTGACTTGACTTACTGCCTTATTGCATGTTTTTAATTTTGTATTTTTGTTATTATGTGATATTTTCTTCTAATTTTATTTGACTGACAGTATTTCACTTTACTGCTTTATTGTATGTTTTTAATTTTGTATTTATTTTGCCCTAATTTTATTTTATTGCCTGATATTTTATTTTACTGCTTTATTGTATGTTTTAAATTTGTATTTGTGTTATTATGGATTATTTTGTTCAGATTTTATTTTATGGGCCTTTTTTACTGCTTTATTGTACATTTGAAATGTGTTGTATGTTTGTATTTGTATTTTTGTTATTATGCATTTTTTGCTCTAATTTATTTTATGGCCTAGTATTTTATTTTACTTGCTTTATTGTTTTTTTTTTTGTTTTTTTTTTAAGTATATCATTTTTAAAATAAAAGCCAATAAGCCAATAAAATGAATAAATACCAGGTAAAATGAGACTCAAATGCAGTGTGTACCTGTATGAGTTGAGCGGCTCGTCTCTGTCTGCAGAAGCGTCTCCTCTCCTGCTGTGTCCTGAAGCTCCTCTGCAGACACACGATCCTCCTCAGCACCTCCTGATGAAGCTGCTCCTGCAGACGCTGCCGCAGACGCTCCCGCAGGAACACCTGAGACACACACACACAGCGCTCAGCATCACGGGACATGTGTGTGTGTGTGTGTGTGTGAGAGAGTGTGTGAGTGTGTGAGAGGAGAGAGTGTGTGAGAGTGTGTGTGTGTGTGTGTGAGAGTGTTGATGTTACCGTGCTTCTGCCCACTTGATGTCCATTGGGCTCGAGGTCGACGCCCTGCAGGAACTGTCTGATTCCCGTCTGAGAGGTGTGAAAGCCCGCCGGTAACAGCACACGGAAATGATGGGCAAAATCCTGAAGAAACACATCAGGAATTCAGGAAAGTGGTTCATGTGTCAGTGTTTCCTATGAAATCAGTTTTATTTTTTCCCAAATTCTTTATTTTTTCTATTTAATTTATCTGAATTTTATTTTACTTATTCTTAAGTTAAATTTTAGTAATCAAAAACCATGTCTAATTAATTTAAATCATAAAAATACACAATTTAACAACAATTTACTGAACGTTTTAGAAAATTTTTATTTTAGGGCCCTATTAAATATGTAAAAAAAAAAAAAAAAAACACAATTCCCAATTTTTTTTTTTTTGGTTTTTG